CTTAACACCTGGTGTTTGGATGTTTGCTCTAGAAAGTCTAGGGAACTCCATCAGAAGACAGCATGTGACATGCAAACATCCCTGCCTATATTGGCGGGGCCAGTCACTGATGTCATTCTGCTCATTTACATATCATTTATGGCTGCCCTCACATAACTGTCACAGAAATGGTTTATCTACAGAAGGCCGATGTACAGTATTTACAAAGTCTGCCTTCCTCGCCTTGTTCTAGGGAATAGGAACAGACAATTCTCATTGTGCATAAATTAGTTGTTAGGAGGTAGCAAATGAGTTAGGGTAGAGGGGCAGGATATGAGGGGAGTGCTGTGAGTGAAATGATATGTCAGGTCTATAACAATGCGATGTATGGAACAAGGCCAGAGGAGGGCAAAGGACCGCTGTATACCCACGTCAAGAAGGACAGGGTTGTAGCACATGAAGAAGCCAATGCAAAGGCACCATGGTGAGATAAGCCTAGAGTGTTCAATGAACAGCAAAAAGCCACATGAGCAGGCAGGTCTGAAGGGTGGGATTTTGCAGGTCACTGTAGGATATGGGCCCTGATGTTGAAGGAGCAGAGCATCGATGGAGGAACTTATGGACAGAGCCATGGTCCTGAAGGCTCACTGGCTACAGCTCAGGAACAAGAATGAAGACCAGCCAGAAGCACTGAACCAGCATGGGAGGGATTGGATTCTAGAACTATCTTGAACATGGAAGTCCACAGGAAACCACAGGAGGCTGAGAAGAGAAGCATTCCCTGAATAAAGTGAAGCAAGGTGCCCATGGTACTCGGGAGCAAGCAACATCTTTCCTTGAGGAAACTGGGCAGTGGGCCAACCAAGTGTGGAAAGATGCAAAAGGCCCAGCCGAGGAAGACTTCCATGGACCTAGTTCTGTCTGTCTGGAGGGCTCTGCATGGCCAGAGGGGTACCATGGGGCTTCAGACTGCTCCTACTTCCCTGAGCACCAACACAGCCATGGTGTGACCATGGGCACCTGGGCTCGGAGGTTCCTAAACAGCATGAAATGTGGTGAGTTCAGCCGCGCCACACAGGTAGCCAACGGAGGGCAGATACTCCACTTGGAATGGAGTACACTAGAGGGAGAGCCGCAGGGCCAGATTTTGTTCAGCCTAGGACTGGTAGGTTTCTGGTGGGAACAACCATACAGTCCTAAGAAGCCCTTTCAAGTCCCTTCATTTAGAAAATCAAAGGATTGCTTCTGATAGCCTAAGAGAGGCCCGGTGAATCAATCAATCTCCTCCTCCTCCTCCTCCTCCTCTCCTTCTCCTTCTCCTTCTCCTCCTCCTCCTCCTCCTCCTCTTCTTCTCCTCTCTGTCTCTCCCTCCCTCCCCCGTGTGTGCCTGTGTGCTCATGAATGTGCCTTTGTGTGTGTGTGTGTGTGTGTGCGCGCGCGCGCGCACATGTGTAGGTGTGTCTATGCCCACACATGTGCCTGTGTGTGCCTGTGTCTGAGCTTGCATAAGTGCTAATACACCCTGGGATGGCACCAAGTTCCTGTTCTTACCAGTCCTAGCTCTGGTTCTTCCCTGACCAGGAACCACAAAATACACGAGAGAGAGCAGAGGCAGAGGCTACCTTAAGGCATGCCCTGTCCTTCTCTGCGTGGGTTTTCTCCAGCATGGGGATTCTACAAATTTCAAAGTTCAAATGCTTTGTGCTCATGGTTAAACACAAAGGTGAGCCCTGCTGCCAGGCGCAGGGCTCGGCACTGGCACCCCCTGTGAGTCTCTCTGGCTTCCAAACGACCCGAAGCCAACCTGGCACAAAGTCAAGGGGAGCACCTGCCACACAGAGTTCTGATATCGATCCAGCCAGCTCTCTTTCTTGGGAAGTTTCCCTAAATATTTAAGTGTAGCCCTGTCTATTCCTATGCCCCATAGTGCCCTCGTTTAGTCAAAAAGTAGGCTTGTATATTTAGAGTGGACTAGGGAGGTCGAAATAACAGAAAACAACCATTGTAACTAACAGAGCAAGCCATGGGAGATTACGGGATATTGATTGGTATGAATATGTAACGAAGTAATCGGTTATTTCCATATTTGATATCACTGCTTAAACCACACTGAAATGGAGTCGTAAAATCCCATAACAGCAATGTTGTTAACTAACATTAATAATGAGAAGGACTTGGGCTTTGCCGGCGCCTATGGAGTTCCACATGGATTTTCACCTTGATTGATGGTCCCTGCCCATGGTCCCTGGGCATCTCAGTTCACCACAGAGAAACAAGCAATTTGTCTCAATCAAGCATCCTGCCTCCAACATCCACCTACACTGCAATCAAAGGCCTCGTTGCTCTGTGTTTGCCAAGCTCCAAACCTCAGAGGCCACCCCCATTTCTCTCCAAACAGCTGAGCACTGAATAAACACAATTTCTCATTCTTTCCTCTTGGCTACATTACTCAGCCACAGAGAAAAGGGCAACAAGCCGGGGGAGGGTCAGAGAGGGTTGAGGAGGTGCACACCTCACATCTCAGGTCGTCAGAGGGTGAGGAGGTGCACACCTCACATCTCAGGTCATCAGAGGGGTGAAGAAGTGCACACCTCACATCTCAGGTCATCAGAGGGGTGAAGAAGTGCACACCTCACATCTCAGGTCGTCACAGGGTTGAGGAGGTGCACACCTCACATCTCAGGTTGTCAGAGGGGTGAGGAGGTGCACACCTCACATCTCAGGTCGTCACAGGGTTGAGGAGGTGCACACCTCACATCTCAGGTCGTCAGAGGGTGAGGAGGTGCACACCTCACATCTCAGGTCGTCAGAGGGGTAAGGAGGTGCACACCTCACATCCCAGGTCGTCAGAGGGGTGAGGAGGTGCACACCTCACATCCCAGGTCGTCAGAGGAGCGAAGAAGTGCACACCTCACATCTCAGGTCGTCAGAGGGGTGAGGAGGTGCACACCTCACATCTCAGGTCGTCAGTACAAGATCATTACGCAAAGATGAAGGGGGCAAACATCAATTCTAAAACTTTTTTTTTAAATCTTGGGACAGGGTCTCATACATCTTAGGATGATCATGAACTCATTGTACAGCCAAGGATGACCCTGAACCTCAGGTTACCCTGCCTCCACGTCCCTGGTGCTAGAATTGTAAATGTACACCACCACACCCAATCTATGTAGTGCTGGGGATGGAACCCAGTACTTGATGCATGTTAGGCAAGCGTTCTACCAATGAGCTACATCTCTAGCCCCTTGAAGTTCTTCCTTGTTTCCCAAATCCAACCTGGTCAATTAAGAGTGGCAACTCAGTATCAGTTGCTTGTAAACAGATCATGTTGCAAAAATGCACCTGCCTCCAAGTCAGTTGTTTAGGAAACGCTACACATCCTTCCTCAGTAACCGCGAGGAAGCCAACAGAGATATCGATTTGCATAGTGCATCTGCATTTTCCAATGACTATTCATTATTGCGTTCAGTCTATGACATTGCTCTGTGAAATATTCAGATATTATTCTATGGGCAAAGAAGAAATCGGAGCTCCCTGGGAAACAGGGACACAATTCACACATGGCCGTTGGTCCATACTGTTCCTGATGAGAAATGCCCTCACCCCACAGGCCACAAAGGTGGTAGGAAAACACCGCTAGAGCCAGCTGCAGTGAAGACACGCCCCTGTGGCTGTTGGCGCAGGAACTCTGTCCCTCCTTCCTTCATGTAATGTGGCTTTCAGGACACCAAGCACTTTCTTCAACTCGGTGGTGAAAATGAAGACCAAGGGAGGGCTGCAGCTCCAGCCCCGTGGTCCTTTCCTTACCTCCTCCATTCAGGGGGCACTGGATGCTGATGCGTCCCGCGTCTAAACTGTGCTTCAGCATCTCTTCTCCACACCCTGCACCTTCTAACTCTAAAATGCCATTTCAGGTGCATGGCTCCCAAGACATGAGCTCCAAGAGGGCTGGGAGTAGACCAGAAGCTGGGAGGGAGCAGGAGGGAAAACTGACTCTTTACTGGTGACTCTCAGAAGTGACCAGAAAGGATGGAATCCTTTGTCAGCATGCAGACCCTCTGGACACCACATCAGACTCCATCCTACTCCTAGATACAAGTCCAGGACTCCATGGAGAGGGGTGAGGCTGACCAAGGTGGTCTGTGGATGCCATTTGGGGAAGCCATACTATAGACTCTGCTGTCCCCAGAAGCCATAACTACTGTGATTGTCACCCCTGTATCTGCTCCCTGTCTATTATGGCAGGTGGAGATTCTCTTTCAGGCCAACTGATGAGCTGCAGTTTATTGTCAGAGGCATGGTGAGGTCAGTCACATTCCAGGAACAAACCCTTCACTTGCTTGTGATTTAGATTTTAATGAATATCCCAGGACCGACACATGGAAGCAAGCTTCACCCCTGCCTTGAGACAGAGGCAAGCCTCATCCCTGCTTTGTGATAGGAATCTTGCCTTGAGACAGAATAAGTCTCCGGTCAGCCTTGTGATAGAGACAAGCCTCACCACAGCTGTGTCAGATGCTAAGTCTCACCCTAGCCTTGAGACAGAGGTAAATCTCACCCCAGCCTTGCGATAGAACTAAGCCTGACTCTAGCTTTGTGGTAGCTACTAAAAATATTGATGATATGGGTCCCTGGGCTGGGCATACCCTTTGGCACTGCCTCTTTGGTGAGAAATATGTCCTTGGGGATTGGATTTACAATGGAAAAGGAGCCAAAAACCAGCTTGGCACTGAGTCTGGAGACCAGTCAAGCAGAGAAATCACATCTGGGCCTGAGGCCAGGGTGACGACTACACTGAAGACCTGGCAGGACTTGACCAAGTTTTCCTGAGAACAAACGAGAAGACAGAACTCAGTAGGGGCAAGATGAATGCCAGGACACACGGGAAGGGGCCCGTGTCTTTTATGACATCTAGTCTGGCTTCTGACAACAGGGACTCAGTTCTCCCCAGTTCAGTGACCGCCCAGCACCCATGCCTGGAAGAAGAGTGAGGCCACTCTGAGGACTGAGCAGAGACTCACCTTGCCAGTGGTGCTTGTAGTCACACATACGCGACAGGGCGATCATCATGGCGCAGTACAAGGGCAAGATGGCAGCACAGAGCCGCCAGCTCTTGCCCCGCCCACTCTCCGTGAAGCAGTGCAGCTTGCCCGCCAGGTAGAATGTGGTGAAACCGAGGCCGGAGAAGGCAACTGCCAACGAGACAAAGCAGGCATTACCCTAGCAAGTGAGCAGTAGCAAGAATTGGCGTATCTCAGCCTTCCTGCCTGCCATCTTCATGCCCCAACGTCAAGGCCAAGGCCAAGAGGAACTAGGCACCATGTAGCCAAATCTGTTCTCCTGCCACAACCATTCTAGAATAAACTTTTAACCATGAGAACGACCCTCCAGGCCTGTATGTGTCTACTCTGTGGCATTACTTCACTCCCTCCCTCATTCATTCAACAAGGTTTAATGATTCTTGTGATGGGTAATCTTGGCTGTCAACTTGACACACCTGGGAAGACGGGACCTCAGTTAAGAAACCGCCTTCATCAGATTAACCATGGCATGTCTGTAGGGCAGTTTCTTGACTGCTAATTGAGGTAGGAGGGCCCAGCCCACTGTGGCAGTATCCTCCCTAGGCATGGGAGCCTGGGCTATTTGAGAAAGGCATCTGAACGTGAGCTAGAGAGCAAGCCAGTACTCAGGTCCTGCTTTAAGTTCCTGCCTTGGCTTTCCTCAGTGATGGACTGTAACATCTAAGGGGAAATAAACCTTTTACTCCCCAAGTTGCTTTTTGTTTTCAGTGGTTTATCACAGCACAGAAAAGCTAGCTGTCCAATATATGCTATATGGACACATGCTAAACGAGGGAAGAAAAAATGCCCAGGACACCATCTCTGCTCTCACAGGGCATGCTGGTTTGAAAGAAAATGGACCCCAAAGGGAGAGGCACTATTAGGAGGTGTGGCTTTGTTGGAAGAAGTGTGTCACTGGTGGGCTTTGAGGGCTCTTTTGCTCAAGCTTCCCTCAGTGTGACACTGAGACCATTTCCTGTTGCTTTTTGATCAAGATGCAGCCAGCACCATGTCTGCCTGCACACTGCTAAGCTCCCCGCCATGATGATAATGCACTGAACCTTTGAAACTGTAAGCGAGCCACCCCAATTAAATGCTTTCCTTATAAGAGTTGCTGTGGTCATGGTGTCTCTTCACAGCAATAGAAACCCAAACTAAGACCCAGGGCTTTGGGGCTGATGGAAGGACATGGCCATTCTGAGAGATTATTTTAAAATGTGCTACATTCAGTAAGAAAAAAGTGTACCCAGTTCGGTACGAACTGCTTAGATTAGAAGGGTTGGGACAAGTCAGGAGCCTGAGATGACCCCTTGTGGTTGGTATGGACAGAACATGCAATGGCAGCATCTGCTAGGGGGACATCAGCAAATGCCACAGAGGAGTTGACTTGATGGAGAAGATGGCCATGGCAACCACTTTGAATTATTCTTAAAATATAAAATTATTGTATTTTAGACATGCCAAGACTTAAAACCATGGAGTTTGGATATAGTATACACTCCCCCCCTCAAGCTTTCATCCATTTTTTTATGACAATATGAATGGCTCTGGAAGACACTCCATTAAGTGAAATAAGTGTGCCCAAGAAGGACTGTTTTGATTTTGTTTCTGTTGCTACGATGAATACCCTGAAAAAAGCAACTCAGGGAAGAAAGGGTTTATTTACTAAACAATTCCAGGTTACGAGTCCTTACGAGTCCATTGTTGTGGGGAAGTCAAGGCAGGGAAGCAAAGCATCGGATGTATAGCCAGTAGTGGGGAGAACTGAGTGCATGGAGCCTTGCTTGCCTGCTCTCAGCTAGTTTTCATCTCTTATAGGGGACTGTTCAGGATGCCCCCTGCATAGGGGATGGTGCTGCCCACAATGAGCTGGATCTTCCTTCATAAGTTACCAATTAAGATACCCCCCCCATATACATACACACAGGCCAACCTTTCCTATATAATTCCTCATTAAGAATCTCTTTCCTAGTGATTCCAGTTTGCATCAAATCAATAGTTAAAACCAATAAACACAAAGAAAAACACCATCCGTATTCACTTGTGCAGGATCTAAAAATTTGACCTCACAGCAGAGAGTAAAACAGAGGTCACTAGTAGCTGGGATGAATAATTGGAATAGAGAGGGTTTGGGTAAAAGGCACTGAGCTTAATAGGAAGACTTAGTTCTAATGCTCTATAGCCCAGCAGGGTGACTACAGCCTATGACATCTGTTGTGTATTTTAAGATAAACATAAGTTTCCAAAGGCCCCTACAAAATGTAAGTGTTTGAGGAGTTGAAAATGCTAATTACCCTGACTTGATCATTCTGCATTGTTTACAAGTATTAAACTATCATACTCCACCCTATAAATAGGTACAAGTATTGTGAACACTAAAATTTTTTAAAAGAATTGATGTTGGAAAAAAAATTTGAGGTTGTAACTCAGTGAGATTTAAGGTTGGTCTCTGAGGGCTAAGAACAATGGTGCTCAACCCTGGCTACACACACAGTCTCCTTCAGTAGACAGGAAACTTAAAAACTACTGGTATCCAGATCCCATTATCTGTAGTGGTCTGGCATGGTCGCTAGTTGGGTGCATCTGTTCCTAGGTGCAGCATTGTGTGAATAACTGAACTTCCCCGTGGTTACAATGGCTGCCGTGACTGAGTTCAGGGGCTTTCCTTGAGGTCAGGTGCTGCAGCTGCTCACCTCTGGATGGCGGATTTACCAAACTTTCATCTCGATTGGAAGACACTGCTAAATATGAGAGCTCCTACACACCCAGACCACACAGTGACTCGGGGAGAACAGGTCTGACCAATGCTTCGTCAGTCCACCGACAAGTCCAAGTGCAAAGCCTTGGCTGTAGTGTGGGCATCACAAAGAACTTTATTACACATGCAGGCTCTCAGGGGGGCTCCAGACCCGTAAGTGAGGACTGGCTTTCCACAGCACTGCCCAAAGGATCGTATGCACACTGCAGTGTGAGATGCCCTGGCTAGAATGTGTCCATCATCCTGCTAGGCGGTCTTTAGATCTATCTCAAGGAGGTAGCATAAACTCTGAGGGGGAACTAAAAAATATTCTGCTCAAAGTTGTTTACAAAAGTGGAAAATGGAAAGCATTTGTTCGGAGGCATAAACAACCCAGCTGTGACACCTTCAACAGCCAGGGAGGCGACATGAAAACCCAGATTATGTGGCAGTGTTGAGTGAAAAAAGGACTCAGCAGCAGGTTCCAGGTCAGCACAGCTGTCGTGTATGACAGTGAATGACCTTCAGCTTTTCCAAATTATCTCTGGAAGCTATGTACCTACTTAAAAGGGATCTTGGTTAGGAGCATGAACCTGTACCAAAGTAAGCCTTCCTCAGCCACCAAAGCAAACACGGTTATAATGGATCCCCATTGCCTTTTTTTGTTTGTTTGTTTTTGTTGTTTTTCAAGACAGGGTTTCTCTGTGCAGCCTACTCTCACTATCCTGGAACTCACTTTGTAGACCAGGCTGGCCTCGAACTCACAGAGATCCTCCTGCCTCTGCCTCCCGAGTGCTGGGATTAAAGGCGTGTGCCACCACCTCCTGGCTCCCCACTGCCTTTTAAACAGATGTTAAACCTTGTTTGTCTCAAGTACACAGATGAAACCAAAGTCAGGAAACAAATGGAAGCTGTACGTGTGCACTGAAATTTTTCTCATTACCAGCATTCCAACAGCATATACATGTTGAGGATAAAGCTTAACCTAAAATGTGAGACATGGCACTGCCCATCCTAGTGGTATGCTAGGATGATAGAAGGGTATTAAGTGATTTCCATAGTGTTCTAAAGTGGAATCATTTGGGTACCATCCTAGCTGGTTCAATAGCTTCTTAATTCCCACCCACATGCACTGGACTCCTTCCCATTCATTTACATTCTCCCATGAGGTACAGGAGTGGGAGGGCTGGACAGCTCATTCCTGTTGGCTCTGGCCTCATCCTGAGCTCTTCCAGGAGGAATAAAATGGTCTTTAGTCAATCGAGATAGCTTAGCAAATCTATCCACCTAATTACCCTAAGTGTGAGGAGCAGAAAAGAACAGCCCTGGGGCTCTGTTGGGCTATGGATGGAAGTCTCCAGAATCAGAGAGAAGAGAGCCAAGAAATGCCAAACAGAGTTCTTAAAAAGCCAATGAACACTGAGTGGATGAGGAGGAGGAGAAGGAGACGGGGAGGAGGATGAGAAGGACAAGGAGGACGATGAGGAGGAGGAATTTGTATACGGCCCATATAAGAATATCTTGAAGACTTCAACACTGATGAGTCAACAGCTCAGGCTACCAATTCTATCTGCACTCTGGCATCTTCAAGAGATGGCGAAGGAACTTCCAACTTCTTCCTGACTTCCGCCACCCAGGAGCTCTCATCCAGCAGTGCCGGCACCAGCTGGGGCATCAAGGACTTTGCCTCATTCTCTGGAGTGCAGGCAGAGTCTTCTCTTTTGCCCAGTGGGAGGCAGCACCAGAATACAGCCTCTCCCAAGCACTGAGGCCTCTGCCTCTCTTTGGAGAAGGAGTTCGGAGGCCTGGGGACCTGCAGCAGACAGTTTCCTTTGACACATGCTACTGGTCCTTTGGACAGTGCTTTAAAACTGTTGTATGCTGTTACTTTTCTAGGTGACAATATAAAGCTCCAATTTCATGCTAAACCTTATGCTTGCCACTTTCTTGCTGACATTTATACAGTTATTGAACTGATGTAACGGTTTCTGACAAAAGGCTTCGGAGGGGATTCCTTCTGGCTTGGCAGACACAACTGAGCATCAGGCAGCTCTGGTCCTTTGCACCTCTGCCTTTTCATCAACAACTGAGTCTGCATTAGACCCGCCAAGCTATGGCTGAATAACTGTCATCCCTTATGTGACAGGGGGTTTGGGATCAGGATGCAATGTTCCATGAGCCATTCTGCTCTGAGGTCCTAAATCCTAGATTCAAATTCAATGAGGAGAGTGAGTAAACAAGAAAGTCATCACAGACAAATTTTACAACTCTAACCATATCACACCCCATTTTCTTCTCAAAGCAACACACTGAGCTGAGCTGCTGGGGCACTTCACCCCACCTTGGAACCAGTTAGATGATGTCCATTGGAAGTGAGAGTCTGTTCTGTGTCTTC